GGAATCCTACGTCAGCTGCGCGGGGAGGGGAGGGGATTTGTGGGGTTTTCAGACCTTTTGCGCCATGACGACGGATGGGAAAAGCCTGAAGGATGAGGAAATATCCCTACTTAGAACCCCGGGAATTATTCAGATCTAAATTCTTTAAAAAAAAAAAACACAACAGTTTACTAGTGCAGTGATGGACACTTTTGTGTGTCCCATGAAATAATTTTGAACATAGCAGGGCATAAGCTGAGTTGCGTGCATTAACAGAAATTTTATTACAAAGCTTCAGTGCCGGAGTCTTCACGTGATTTGCTCTTGTTTCTTTCTGAGGAAATCCAGAAAGAAACATGGTTTAGATTAGCTGCTTTGAGATCTCTGAATCCGACATATCCTCCTTCTATTTATACTTATAAAGCCAAAGTTGCCCCGTGTAATTTAAGTCAATACTAAATAGAAAAGCACTGGCAAGCGGGTAAGATTGAACATTAAAGGAAGGGATTGTGCTTGGTCTCTTGTAGAGAGCAAACCTCTGCCGTCTCCCCATCTCCAGTCTCACCTCTCTCCAGAGGGGTAACCCAGGCACAGCAGCCAGACGGCAAGCCGTGCTCTCTCCCACGGATGCAGGCGACGCGGTGCAGAGCGGCAGCGGGAGATGTGGTGAGGCTGACCGGTCTGCTACAGGCTGCAAGGTCGGACCAAACAGACGGCATCGCCGGAGGGCTCAGGGGCCGCGCCACATGCGCTGCCCTGCAGAGCTCCCCCATGCCTGAGTTACAGAGCACCGCTGCGGGGAACAAAAAAGCAAAAACCTGCTGTGCCAGTACCCTTTAAAAAAAACATGGATTAATTTGGTTTTATACAAGTACTAAAAAAATACTGTAGATATGCCTTAGCTCATGTCAAGAGCGTGAGTGGAAGAGAATAGACTGAACTATGTAAGCAGGTAGAAACTTCGTGTCCTGATGAGCTTGCAGGCATACACGTATAAACATTCATAGCACGCTGGTCGATCGTTCGTAAGCAAAGAGAAGCAGATGTCACTGGCGAAGGGTGCCGGCATTGTTTGGTTTCACAAGAGGTGTGATTACAGAAGGTACTTGAAGGAGGAGAGAATAATCACTTGGCATGCAAAAACGAGAGACAAATCCAAGCAGCAGGTTTGGTGTATTGTTGTGAAAAGCACACTTATGTGTATTCATTTGAAGAAGACAGACGTACAGAAGCAGATAATGGAAATTTTTTTTTTTTTTTACTTTGAAACTTCGGTGAAAATAAAATAGTAACAAAAAGGTTGACATGTGGTTATAGAAGTTCAGCTATTACTTAAGCCCTGTAGCTTATTTCAAAAAGAGTATAAACCACAAAAGCATTTTATGATTTATACAAAAGAGGTAAGAAATGTTCCATTTTTCTGTGTTACTGGTATACTTTTTTTTTTTTTTGTCTGGAGCTTGTTAGATAACAGTAAGTCTAATAATGTTTTATCTGATTCTCCTAAACATGCAATTAAAGTACATTAGTACCAGCATACTGGTTTATGTTCATTATTAAATGTAAAAATCTAAGAACTTTACATTAATGGAAAATAAAATTTGAGATTTTAGTTACACAGAAGTCAGGGAATTCAGATGGGCGGTTCCCATAGCAACCTATATCTTCCTCTTTGTGTTTTTCATCTCTCTAGAACCTTTCATTACTTGATTGCACCATACATTGTATCATGCAATTTCATCATAAAATGTCATCATTATATAACTGTGCAAGAGAAGAGAGTGAACATTGTCTTCACTCAAGACTTTCTAACTTTAATGTTTCTGTTGCACTGAGAGCAAACTGATGCTTAAATTAATTAAGCCCATGATTTCAATATTTTCTGCTTTTTTAGGGGCCTCCATAAATCTGGCTGGGTTCTTTGGAATGGCTATAAATAATAAAGCAGTTGAACACAATAGCATATCATTCCTTTGTAATTGGCTATTGTCTGCCTTGCCACGTAGATGTGTGGCTCCAGTGAGCAAAAATGAGACCAAACCATTTTTCATTTGTGGCTAAAAGATTTATCCCATCCAGATACAGGAAAGAAAGTGATAGTGGAAAATGGAGGGCACTTGTGGTTTTTGTCTTCTGACAGTGGAATATAATTTACCAAATTACAACTCTGTGGATTGTCATGGTCACTAGTGGGGTTATCAGTTAGAGATCATTGTGGTGACTTCTAGACAACATAACAGATACGGGAATTTGTAGAAGTAGACCTGTAATTCTGAATTTTTCCATACTGTAAATTTGGATGACAGATGAAGAGTCAGCAAGATCGTGCTTTTCATTACACAGATGAAGATAGTTATTAACCTTTTTGTTGCAGAGGATATCAATATGGAACAGACAAAGTGGGTTGGTCTGACCTTTTGAGGAACTTAGCTGACCTGGTCTTTTTAGTTTGGCAGCTATGCTGTGAGAACTTCCAAGACCAAATATCTGTGGCTTATTAAGGCCAGGTTGGATGGGGCTTTGGGCACCCTGGTCTAGTGGAGGGTGTCCCTGCCCATGGCAGGTGGTCGGAACTAGGTCCCTTCCAACCCAAACCATTCTATGATTCGGTGAAGCCCTAGCGGGGCTCCACAGCAGATGAACCTACTAAGAAGAAAAGAGGTGCCCCACTACAAAGATGAGCAAACTAAAAGACAGAATAAAAAAAAAAAAAAATTGAAATTCTAACCTTCTCCACTCTTCCTGTTAAATGCTAAAAGAAGAGAAAAATACTGCAGAAACAGAGATAGGATTAGGAAAATTAAAGGCTTTTCCTCCTCAAAAGCCTCAAATTGTGATTATTTCTATTGCCTTGATAAAAACAGACCTGGCTGGTAGTGCCATATTTTGTTCTGTGCTTTTGTAGTGATGATAAATTTTGCATGAAATGAAAGTAAATAGTTGTTTATACTTCATTTAACAGCAGCCAGTATGTCACTAAGTCAGCACTTCTCCTCTGAGATTTATAGAGCAGGATTTAGGCTAAATTGCTGGCATATGAGATTTCAGCCAAAGGTTGTTTTCCTTTAACCATTTTGTTTTTCAAATGCCTTGGCTGATATTAGGTTATTGGAGTCCAATATAATTACTTGTTTAATTGCTTGGAAGAAGTAGAGCTTCCGTAGTTCAAAAATGGCTTATTTTCTTTAAAAATAACTGAAATCTGGCTTGGGGTGCTCTAGAATGCATTGCAATGCGTACAATTGTGTAATTTTATCCTCTTAAAAAAACCCTGAATAGTCATTAAATCTTTGGAAACTAGCTAATCTCTAGGAAGATGCGATAGGTCTGGATATTTTCCAGGATTTGCAAGAGGCTATGACAGCTTAACATGGTAAGAAGAATGGTTTCTAAATCACTAAAAGACTGGGTCAAAGACTCTAGCCTTCTGAAACTCATTTGGTCGTCTTAGTGACTGCAGTCTTCTCCGATGTCCAGAATCAGTCTCTGCTTTCAAGAGGTAACACAGAACAGAGAAGAGGAAAAATTGACACAGAGTCCAGAGGACCTGTAAATAATGATGGATCAGTTAGATATTGGTCAGTGCCGCTTTTAGTTGTCCTGTACCCACTTGTGTTGTATTGAAGCACAACAATAAAGGACCTTTATGGGAGCTATAATGTGGTAGGTAATGATGTGGAGGAGAGTAAAGTAACAAACAAGGCAATAGAAGAGGCAAAACTGTAACCTGGATGTTGAGAAGCCAGAGATGAGGCTAAGATGTTCGGGATCATTATATCTGTCCTGAATAGCACTCAGTACCTTGGTGCAGAGGAGAAGTATGTCACTTTCACTCTGCTCTCCTCTCCAGAGGAGTATGGTGTATGTGAGTGTGTGTGTTCACGTGCCTGTGCAGTCTATCAGTCTGTTCTGTCTTTTCCCTTAAAACTTTTTCATTTCTTATTCAGTGCCAAGCAAATCTGGCATGAAGGGAGGGGTCTCACAGACAATGAAATTCCAACAAGTTTCATAAAATTTGTATGTTCTTGTGTAGAAAACAAGAACAAGAAATTACTCCCAGAAAGACTCCAAGCTGAAGGCAGCATTGCAGCATGAGTCCTTACACACAGACGCAACAAAGAATCAGTAAAAGGATGGGTAGGGGGCAAGAGAAGCCCTGAGAGACCCAGTCACAGGAAAGCTGCTCTGGATATTGCATATTACCCCAAAATGCAATTCACAGGGAACCAGGCATTAGTTGCAGCACTCACAAAGCTAGGAGCTGTGCCTCTGACCGCAGCACACTTGTGGAAATTTCTGTTGCCTAACCTTACCCCAACTCATCGAAGCCTCTTCTTTTTAAATTTTTTTTTCTTTCTTTTTTTGGGAGGGGGGTGGTGGAGTGGGATGGAAGAAGTTCAGGGCATTAGTTAGCTTGCCTAGCCATGTCAGCCAAGGTACCAGCCAAACACACTGGATTGATGGGTTCTGCAAGGGAAAGGTTTGCCTCTGCTCTTTAGGGCTAAGGTTAACTTTGGGTAGAATACCAGCGTGATTTTACTAAATTTGGTCTTTGGCTTTTCTGGTGAAAATAGACATTGCTTCTCCTCCACCTAGCGTGACAGCAACCTGCTTTCTAAGGATATGAAAATAAAAATGAATATTTATGAAAATAAAAACATTATTATGTTGAGAGGGAATCCAGTCTCTTTTTGGAGACTGCTGCAAGACGTTCATTGGGTTCCATTGCCTTTCCTCCTCTGAACATCTGAAAGATGGCAATGCATTCATGAACCTCTACAAACCACAGCAATGACTGTTTCACGAGTGCTAAGTAGGCAGTCGCAGAGCTTTAGGGCATTGTGAGTGTGCTGAGGACAAGGAACATCTTCTTTCACCCAGACACACGCTTATGAATGCATCACACAAGGATTTGGGAACGATGAGAGAGGAAGATGTTCAAAGAGACTGCAAAACATTGCCTCTCTTGTCTTTTCATGCTGTTCTTCATCTGGGTTGTCTAGTATGATAGCGATTGTGTGGTTCCCTTCCCTCACCTGTGCCCATTCAGCTGTGTTGACCTCTGGGAAAAAAGAGGTCATTGCCACTTGTAAATAGAGGAGCTGTCATCTCAAAACTTGGAATCCAGTCCAGCTCACATCAGTGTGGTTCCTCGATGTGAATCAGCAGGACTCCACCAGTGACTCGGATGAACACAAGAAAAGGTCCCAAGAGCACTGACCTGGATTTCATGTCTGGACAGCTTGAGCCAATGGATCTTGAAAATAGAATATTTCCTATATTCAGAGGACAACTGTTTTGTACTTACATGAAGAGAAGAATGTTAGTTGAGAGTAGTTATTCAGATGTAAAAGAGAAATTTCATTTTTAATGTATCATATTGTATCTATTAAATCGATCAAACAGCTGATTGCAAAAGCCCACTTTATAAGTGACTTGTTTCAAGCTAGTAGCAGTAGAAATCATACATGACTATGTCAGTGCTGCTAGTTCGCATTTGAAAGATAAAGGACAGTTAAGAGCAGGTGGAGAAGAAGTGTAGAGAATCGTTCAGGCTGTTTTAGCTTCTTAAGGTTTGATTCCAGTGGATTTATAATTTTGTCTGTGTGTCAGTAGTAGCTCATGGGATTAGATGTGAATTCTGCATAGATACGAGGTTTGAAAAGAAAGATCTACATTGAGCCAGTAGTTCCATGGTTGCCTAAATCTATTTCAGAGGTCAAGAACATGAGTTTGGAAGGCTCAGATCTGTTACAGCAGATCACCATCACTTTTCTAACTTGATGAAAATGTGAGGTTCAGAGTAGGTGTCTCCACAAGAAAAACAGCTTTGTGGCTTTTGCAGGAATAAAAGGGCTCTGTTCTTAAGTCTCAGGTAAAATGCAGAAAATTAAGTCTAATTTTTAATAAATAAATACAGTAGTACAGAAACAAGGTATGACATAGTACTTGAGGGCTTTAACAGTGGTAAACTGGACATTGTAATAAAGAAAATAATTAGGAAATGAACTTTTCCAAAAGCAACAAAAAGCTAGATGAGAGGCAGCCATTCTGAGAAAGCAAAAAGGAACCAGTTAGAGCATCCCACACTAATACAGAGCACAAGCATAGCCGCTTATTAACACAAGTGCTATATGATCTATATGTTGTAACTGAGATTGCTTAGCCAGATTTCAACTCAGAATTAACTGTAAGCTGTCTAATAAAGTAGTAATAGCCAAATGGACTCTCTGAAGAGTTTTTGACTGAAAAATTCTTAAAGCTAAATTGGAGGAATCATACTAATATTGACTTTGTGTAGTATTGCGTGTAGACCACAAAGACTTGCTTCTCATACTCTTTTACCTTCGTGAAGCCAATGACTGTTCTTTGGTGATCTGTTGAGGTAGATCAGTTAAAACCAATCTGAGGCCAGGCAACCATTCTGAATTGTTATCTACTGATTTCATTCTGGTTTTAAGCATTTTCATCTCTGTTACTTATCTTGGTGATGATGATCATGGTTGTGAGGGTTGATTTGAGCTGCTGAACTTGAAATTCATCTGTTTTGACTTTTCACTAAGCATTTGTTTTAGCAGTGCTTTTTCCTGTACATTAAGCTTCAGCACTGTGCATTTTTAGCACTGTAACTGGAGTCAATAAAAAGTAAACACCATGTCTAGAAGCTCTTAATCTGTATTTCACAGCCACATTAGCAACTCTGCCTTCCCCTTGTCCTATCAAAAGCATACACTTAGGAATGGCAAGGCATTGCTAATGTCATCCCTTACATCCAATTCAAAGGAAGAATTCCGTTTAGGTACTCCTCCTCCTTCTTGTGTGAAGAACATGAATTCCTAAATTTGTTGCAGTTTTGTTTTGTTTTGTTTTGTTTTAATTTCTTCCTCCTGTATCTTTCCTTAGAGAAAAGAACAACACCAGGGTATTCTGCCATAAGCAGTATGCATCCTTTGCTTTTAATGTTCATTCATTTCAAATGGATAAATATGTTAAAATAAACAGCATTCTGGGTGGATATCTAACCCCTTCATGCTATCAGATGTGGGGGTGGGGGTACACGGCAGGAGGGGGGTGTTAGCACAGGCGCTTTGCCAGATTGCCAGCTTAATTCTTTATTGACTGATTCTGATTTCAGAAGCAAAATGTCTGTATGGTCCTCTTGCCACTCGTAACTGGAGACCTACAGCATCAGTGTGGTGAATTTGTAGTCATTTTCTTTCAAATGTAAAGCCTTCCACTGCTGGGCAGTTTGTGTTGCTGTAACACTGCTGAGTCTTTCTTGCAGCCTGTGTCAAGGATTGAACTTTCCAAATTATGTATTTCAGACCTTGAGAAAGAAAGGACTTAATGGCTGTGACAGTCCAGACCCCGATGCAGACGATTCAGTAGGTCACAGCCCTGAGTCTGAGGACAAGTACAGAAAGATTAATGAAGATATTGATCTAATGATCAGCAGGCAAAGATTGTGTGTAAGTACTCTGAGCTCCCTTTCATTTTTTTTACTTTCTGATATTTCTCTGAACCTGGCAGGCATTGAACAAGAAAGAAAACAAAGGTTGTGAAAGCCCCGATCCTGACTCCTCTTACGCTCTCACCCCACGCACTGAAGAAAAATACAAAAAAATTAATGAAGAATTTGATAATATGATCAAGAGCCATAAAATACCTGTAAGTACCAAAGGTTAGATGGCTGTCTGCTGATAACTGCTGCAGTAACAAACCATAACCCTTTCAGTTCTGGCTTCTTAAGGAAAACATTTCAGCTGGAAACAGGCTTTAATAGCCCAATATACAGTTAAACACTGTGGTCAGAAAATTTTACACAATGTATTTTTCTTCCAAGTCTCTACCTCTGACACACAGACAAAGCCTACTATAGGTGAAACCTACAGAAGGAAGTGAAATATACATATATACATTATATTCACTTGATTTACAGAACTGTTTTACCACACCACTCACCCAAATTATACCTAAAAAATAACGATGAAAATCTTTCTTTGTGGACAGGCTAACAAACCCACAGAATACTTTCTGTGGTGATATAGAAAAAACAATGTAGAACTGAAATCCCTTTATATATAGTAATTAATGCATTCTGTGCATGTCACTTCAGTTCTCAAGTGTCTCTGCTAAACTCAGTTGCAGCACTGAAGGGTTACAGCTACTTGCTCGCTGCAGAGAAACAGACTGCATGAGAGCCTAATGGTAGGATTCAGACATGTTTGTGTGTTGGGGTGATTTTACAGCTTTATCAGAGAATTTGCTTTGACCTCATCAGCATTTCTTTAATGCTTTAACATGAGCTAAATTTTGTTTTAACCAAGTCAAAATTTCTAACCATCAGTCATATGCCTTGCCAGATATCTAAGAGAAATAACTCTGCATGTGCTCTTTCGTTTGCACAAGACATACGAGGGGAAAATACTTTGTCATTATGTTTAATTTATAAAGCCGACAAAAAGAATGTGGAGGTTTGGAGGTTCTTCCAAATGTGGGTGGAAAAGAAAGTAGCAAACCAAAGACTCAGGCAGGTTCAAAGAAACATCTGAATTTGCATAGGAAACTGCTTGCTTCTAGAAGACATCATTTGGATGTGTTAATTCCTCGTTCCCGCATGTAGGTTGTATGGTTAGCTGCCAAAATGGACGTCTGTATACCCAGAATGAGCAAAGGCTCTTCTGTAGTGCTAGTCAATTGTGCATACAAAATCTGATACCTAAGCTGAGGATACCTCTCAAGGGTGCTCTGATTCTGTTTCATGCAGTATAAGTGTTCTTTCCATTAATTCTCAGCAGAAAGATTTTTCACTCAAGTAAATTAAAATTTGAAGAAGTTTTCACATCATAGCAAATATATTTTTGAAAAAAAAAATTAAATAATAAAAATTTTCCCAGAGGCCAGAATGGCACCAAATTTGATAAATTAGTATTTGGAATGGCTGGTTAACAATGCCCAACATGTATATAAAATATCAGGGAGGAACACACATATATATTCCATCTGGTTTTAGCTCCCTTTTTATTTTCTTATTTTGCATAGCTGTTTTTCTCAGAAAAAAAATGCTCTAAAGCTGTCACCATGAATTTGGTTTCTCAGGATGGAACTCAGTTTGACAGATGATGACTGCAACAGTTAGGGTGACTGTTATAAGCTGGAATGCTTAACCCGTTTTCACATCAAAATCTTACCAATTGCCATTCTTTTCCTCTTTGAAGGATGACCTTTGGCTTGTTTAAATCAAAGTGTCAGAATTTTCAATCAGATAGTATTTAACCAAGTTACTTTTCTACCTTAAAATTGTGTTTGGGGTGGTCCTTCAGATCCTCTGTTTCATGCTACCTGTTTTTGTTCCAACAAAGCAGCACATGTTGTAACCATTTGAAATCTTAAGACATAAAAAAAATCAACCAACCAAAAAAAAAAAAACCTTGCAAAAACCCCTTATTCCTTTGGTAGTGAGTTCTATCACTTTCGTTACCTTCATAAGCACTTGGGAAAATCGTCTTTTTTATGAAACAAGGAAAGTTCTAGGAATTTGAAACAACACAGTTACTCTAAACATGGTACATTACTTTTGTCCTCCCAAAAATTAATGGATTTTCCCTCTGGTTGCTTTCATTAAATTTAATCTTTTGATGTCAAATATAGTCCTACTTCACCTATTACCTTGGTATTTAACTTGGTTTCCTGAGCTGTATTTTGGGTATAATGTAACTTCCTACCTTGCAGGGATGTTACAAGGTACAATGTATTATCTTTTTGTGAAATTACTTCAGAGATGCTTCAGAGACACAGAACTGCACAATGTTAGCGTTTCTTTTCATGTGAGACAGGATATCCCTTCTTTGAATACTTCACACGCAGAGCTCAAGGTCTGTGTGCTCCATCAGGCTGCTTACCACAAAAGGAAGAATCAGTGGGTGTTCTCCCCTAATGCAACAGGACCTCCTTCTCTTGGCATAAGCCGAGATGTAACGGGCAAGATGAAGCTCAAAGCTAGTACATAATGGAAATTTGTAAATACAATATGTATTTTTATATATAAATATTATGTATCTTATATTGTATACAATAATATCCTTAGCTGTACAAATCAGTATAACTTCAGGGAAGCCAGGGAAGTTATATTCATTTAATTGTGATCATCAAAGTTAGCCAAGAAAGTTGGGGAGAAGAAAGCAATATTGAACAAAAAGTCACCAAGTCATTAAATCACTACTTACAAAATATATCAAACAATGCGATCCCTGTGCCTGTTCTTGTAACAGAATAAAGCTGCTGCCAAATGAAAACACAATTGGCTTTTGCTCCTAACAGCTAAGGCCAATAATGTTTCCTCAGATAATTTTCTGCGGATAAGTATTTATATTGTTCTAAAACATCTGATAATAATTAGACATTCATTTGTAGTTTTCATAAGAGTGATGAAAGCAGAGGAGACAGAAATAGTCCACTAGGAGGGAGCTATAAGTATCTCTGTCTCTAAATAAATGAAGGCCTGGTTGAACATGGGAAGGATAAAAAACAATATTTAACACAGAGTTTTTGGTCCATTAATTTCCAAGGGTTTTGAGCCCCCAACACTTTGCTTTGCACAACATACCCCAGCTTGTGGAGCACACGTCGAACACAGTGTGTGCTGTACACTGGCGCTTCCTCTCAGATGAGCCATCTGCCCTCTTTGGCAGTTGTGTGCAAAGGAGAAAAGGCTGAGATAAGAAAAAAAACCCAAAATGTGGCAAGCTGCAAAGACATTCGAATAAGGGTACGTCTATGTTAGAAAATTAGCAAATGGCAAAGAACGTACCGAGGCAGCGGGAGGTGCTTATCTCTGCCCTGAATTGGTCGAGCAGTCCCTGGCATGCTTTTGGCACCAGCCAGATAGCGCTGTCCCAGACGATTTCTTAGCTCTGTTTGGTAGTTAGCCCAGGCCAGGAACAATTCCCAGTTGTCAGTTTATATGTAGTCATGATGTTTTTGAGGTTGAGAAAGCTTAATAGTTTGGACATGGACTGCTCTGTGGCCTCAGATGGCCTCAGTTCCTAGGCAAGTTTAATTTACTAATAGAGGTATTACGCAAGTGCACCATAAGCTTTGATGTCCATCAGGCCTGGCTGGAACAGATATGTTCCATGACTGACCACCAAGAATGACTAGGGAACCTGCAGGAGGTTGCAGTTCTTGGTGAAGGACATTCAAGACACTAACAAAATTTCGGCAACCAGAGCAAAACTGTAGCTAGAGACTGTCTAATCCTGGTGTTTATCCAGACAAACCTCTCTCTAACCTTTGCTACTGAGGAGAGGAAATAAAAACTACTCTATTCCAGATATAGTGTGCATTGTGCTGCAAAGCAGAGAGTAAACTGACTTTGCCCTGATAAAATTGCCTATGAAGTACTCTGTAAATAGATGTAAGTATATCCAGAGAGTAGATAAAATGGTGAAAATTAAACCATTACTACAGAAATTAAGAAAATAATTCATTTAACTAGTTTAAAAAAATATTTTTAAAGTGACAAAAGGAAAGCTATGTAACTGTTTCAGCAATGTTTGTGTGTTTCAATGATGACTAGTGAGACTGGCAGCCACAAGAGCCACCACGACTGGACCTCTTTTGTGCTGTACTAATGTAGAAAAAGAAGATGGTGGCCCTTGAGGGGTTTGACTTGTACATGGAAGAAATACAGAACACGATGATGAAAGTGAAGAGCCTGTTGAGGATTGGAAAGACCTTCAGATTTGCATTTGTACCTGTGTTTTAGTTTAGGTAGCTCAACAAAGATTGGGATTAGGAAAATAAATTAAGAACTAGAGGCAATATTGGTGTCATCAGCTGCCTACCCAGGCTCAGAGGGCAGATTTCACAGATCTCATGGCAGAGGTGAAGAAGACACTGTGCAAAGTGCTCCCCAGTGGGTGACACTCAATGTGACATGGGCTGGCACCCGGGCAGGCAGGATCATGTGCTGGAAGCCACCAGGCAGAGAGATCTCCACCACAGCCCTGAACGTTGCAGTAACAAAAGCCTCCGTGTTGGCATACTCATGTCTTACATCAGCTGGACGTGAAGCTAAGACATCTATCCTTGAGAATTCATTGGCTAAAACTTTTCAAAAAGGCAGAAACCACCAGAAGCTTTGAGCTCCATGAGCAACCGTGCATTGAGAGGGACAAATTGCACCTCTGACCTGCATGGGATTTGGGAACTTTTGGGGTCCTTCCATGGCCAATGAAGAAAATGTCTTGCTTCAAAACATACCTTCAGGCTGATAAAATGTTTCAGATTATGCTATGTGAACCTATTTCCAAGGAGCCTAGACGTCAGTCATGCCGTACACTGGTACTCCTTATGCTACGTACCTTGTAAATTTTCCTTTGAAAGACAAGCCACACATGCAGCTAGTGAGCTGGACTTCAACTGTAAAAACATCTGCAGGCAAAAAAGGTGGTTCCTGAAAAAAATAAAGAACATATTTCAGCAATTACATTTTTCAGCACGTAATCATTTATTCTCTTTTTTCTATTTGTGAGACACAAACATTCATATGTTTCAGGATCCCTACACACACCAGCAGCACGTGCAGTTTTTCTCCTTACCCACTGAACACACAGATTCCCAAGACCCCTCTCCTCCCTGTCCCACCTCTACTTCAACCAACCAACTCTGTGGACAATACCTCCCTTGGGTGCACTTCAGCTTCTCGGCAAAGGGAAGCAAGTCCCAGCGTGCAGCCCTGGCCGGGGAGCAATACCAGCAGGTCCCTCCGCTCAAGTGCCCTACCTGATCTCAGTCATTATGCTATGGCCATCTCTCACAAAACCAGGCCACAGGCTACGTAGAGGGTTTCAGAGATAAATTAACACCTTGAAATTAGTCCCGAGGCATTTGTATAATGCATCCTTCACATCATACCCTGAACTAAAGTCTTGCTGTGAGTTTCAGTGGTTAAGCAAAATGATTCCTCTATATTTAGAGCAAAATTATGTCTGACCCTAGAAAGGGGAGAAGACAAAAAAAAAAAAAAAACCAACCTTTTAAGGGATAACCGTAATTTGATGGCCAGTGCTGCAATATGTGGGGCACAGCCAACAGCTCTGGCCAGCCAGAGAGGAGACATGTGGGTGGCACAAGGTCAGGGCTCCTCTCCTGCCTGACACAGCAGATTACGTGTCCGGCTCTCAACTTATTCCCTCTAGGTCCTTGAAGACTTACCCATACTATCAGCTGCCAACAACAAAATTAAAATCTGTGATTTCCTCCCTCTGAAGATGTTACGAGTCTGGCTTAACGAATTTTTTTATGGGTTTAGACTGTCAAAGTTTGTAAGATTTTTAAATTGGAAAATTAAGGGATACTTTGTTTGCGCTCAGGTATTTAAACATTTCAAATGCTGTCAGGTGATTCTGAAAAAGTTTTCTTTCCATTCACAAAGATAAGAAATTAATTATTTTAAAAACAGATATATTAAATATGGAGTTCTAATGTATTTGAATGCCACCAGAGTCATAAATTTTAGAGAAATTCAGTCAACTTCCACCCAGGAAAACCCCAAACTGTAAAGCCACCAACCAACCAAGAAAACCTGAGATGGGCTTTCTAGGAGCATAATGAGGATCAGGTACTGCATCTCCTTATGCCCTCTGTCAGAGTGGTCCTTAATGTGGTTCTTTTTTGAAAGCGATTCCTGCAAAGGAAGGTGGCTCAGAACGAAATCCTGCCTTAAATTATGAAAACAATATATTGGAAGGGCATCGCCAAACACAACCCCCATCACCACCACCACCCACCAAAAAAAAAAACCAAACAAAAACCCCACCAAAACCCCACAAAGAACCCAAAGACTGATCTGTATCTGGAGTTCTTATATTTGCTACATGTTCCTGAGTAGAACTTTGTTTCTTTCCAGACCCCAAGCTAAGATAGAAACTTTAAAAGAAGTCATTTACTGTGTTGGTGCCTTTAATGTGATTTGGGATCATTCCGGTTGCTAAAGCAACATAAGCTGAAATTAAAGCTTTCCCTTTTGTATTGCACACCTTCTAATTTTTCTCCATGCAATGAAGTCATCGTAATCATGTACCTTTGATCTTGCAGTCATCTGTGACACTACATTATCACAAGTGAACAATTACAACTTCATGGAATGAAAGAAAAAGAAAATTAAGCCTCATAAACCAGGGTTTTGTTTTAAACAAAAAAAAAAGTGAAAAAAATCTTTCCAGTTCTTACAAAGTAAATGTGCAAGCTGCATTAAGGGAAGATGCAATCATGATTTGAAAAATCATATTTAAAAGCCTTGGTAACTCTTTTGAAACTCTTCTCTTGACTCTTGGGGGAGGGGTGTGAACGTAAATATTTTAACCACCAACTACAAAATATTTGAACTAAATATAGAGTAACTGTACTTGAAGGCTGTTGTGCTTCTGTACTATTCTTGTCTTTGTTTCCCTTTTTTGCTTGTACAGGCTGTTCCACCACCAAACTTTGAGATGCCAGTTTCTATCCCAGTGTCCAACCACAACAGTTTGGTGTACAGTAACCCAGTCAGCTCACTGGGAAATCCCAACCTTTTGCCGCTGGCTCATCCTTCTTTGCAAAGAAATAGCATGTCTCCTGGCGTGACACACCGGCCTCCGAGTGCAGGTAACACAGGTAGGCTCTGTTCAATCCCATCCCTTTAAATGCTCTTTTATCAGCTGCTTCTGTGCCTTAGGTCACTTTAAACTGTACTGTGAGAAACAAAAACTCTCTTTTTACCAGTCATAACAGTTTGTCCAGAATTGCTGTGTTGAAAAATCAAAAGAAGAGCCAAAGGGGTTTCTATTCCCAATTTAGAAAATTTAAAAAAAAAAAAAGTTCTAGAAAAAGCTGAATATTGACTAAGATTAAAGGAAATCAATAAAGGATAAAAGGGCAGACAATTTGCTGTTTCATAAAAAGACAGCTTGTCTACTTGATTCATGCAAGAACTCACTATACCATAAAGCTTAAGGAGGCAGGGGAGAAAATGTAGCCAATGCAAACAAGTTGAAACAAGTAAAATACGACACTCGTTACTTAAGTCATCAGTCTAGAGGCTAAATGCAGAATTTATTATTATTTATGCATTCACAGGTTCCTTGATGGGTGTTAGCTGAGCTTGGTACTGGAGTGCCTTGTACAGCAAGCTCTGGTGATGGTGAGGGCTCACCTCTCAATAGGATAAATGGGGATTAAGTTAATTCAATCTGTCTGGCTGAAGAAGCATCAAGATCCCTAGGTATACCGGGTTCAGAGAACCATTTGAGATCCCCAAGTGCAAAGACTAGTTTTAAAAGTCCTTAAGACCAAATGTCTATGAAATGCCGAGGAAAATAAATGAAAAGCAATGTAAATGTGTGTTGTAGCTTCTGAGTTACATTCTCATATGGGAACTTTCAGTCTCTTCCTTCCATTTTTATGTGGAAGCGTTTGCTTTTCTAATACCAAACTAAAGATAGTTTTCAAATGAAGGACTACTATACATAACTTTCAGATATAATATATTTTTCATATGCTATGGAAGTATGAAAATAAAATAATGAAATGTTGGGTGCGACTTTTTTTTTTTTCCTTGAAAGGCAAATAATCTTGCACGGGTAACATTAAACATTACAATTTTATGACTATGGGTCTGATCCGATGCCTGTTGAAGTCAGAGGAAAATGGTTGTGGGTACTGGAGCAGGCCATTTGAAGTCAGAGAAAATGTTTTGAGTGTTTGCCTGTTATAATTTATCGTGCTCATTTGTAGTATTTCGTTTCACCGTAGGTGGCCTGATGGGTGGGGACCTCACTACCGGTGCAGGCACCAGTGCAGGTAAAGAGAAGAGAATTTATATTTATTTTTCCAAGTGAATAAAGGATTTCCTTCAAAGGCTGAGCCCTAAAATAGCTCCATACTGGAGGTGGGATGTTAGAAAGTGATCGGCACTGGGTTTTCTCCCCCAGCTGGGGCGTGCGGAATTGATATTTGTGTTTCGCTCATTAGTAAGAAGAAGCTTGTTTTCAACAGTGTCGAAAATCTTGCACCTCAACAAATTCCACAGATACAAATGCCTGTTTTCATTCACATTAGCCTTCCATTAAAAACTTTAGGGGCAATTGCATAGCTCTGTTCGGGCAAAACTTCCACTGAGGCCAGGGTCTGAAACCCCAATCCTTTTTAGGTCACAGGGAGTTTTTCCGTTGACTTTAGTGGAATTCAGCTTTCATTTTATGAATTTAAGCTTGAGTAAAGATTTCATTATTGAGTCTTTCATTAGACTTCAATCTACTGAGCACAGATTTGATTTCAAACCCCTGCTTTATGACCATTGCTAGTCAGCAAAATCTGTTATCATTTACTTGAATAATCAGTAATTAACTTAAGCTTAGTTTTATGTATTTACTTAAGTGCTTTGGTACACAACAGGGAAAGGATTTTCAAAATACCCGTGCAGAGAAAAAGATTAGCCCCTTTAGTCCTGCTCCCATAGAACTAATGAGAGCTGTACTAGCTAAGGTCTGCGTTATCAAAGCAATGTTGTCAGAGTAGTCCCCTTTGCTCAGTAAACTCAGTGGTTTGTTAGCAATGTCAGCAATGTTGCATTATTACAAATACAGATTACAAAAGACAATGGCCAGATTACTGTTTCAGTTTGAGAAGTAAACACATATGTTCGAAGAAAATAAGCTGAGTGGTGAAACATGGAGCACATCCAATTTTACTGGGTTAACTGCTCTCAGAAAGAACTGTATGGAAAAATAGTTGGAAGATCCATTTTGTGCACTATAAACCAAGGCTGATATATATGCCAATTCTGACGTTGTCTCATAAAAATATAAAAGAAAATATAAAGAAATCCTAGATATCGTGATCTTTTTTTTTCTTGGCTCTTCTCAGCCTGCGTTAGACCACCCCCCTTTTATCTTCACGCTTAGATGAGTCACAGATGTTTGTGTGATGCATTTGTAATAAAATTGAAACTGCACAGCATTGTATCAGAAGGGCACTTAAACACATGCTAAAGCTTTGAGGGGTCAAAAATTAATTTTGTATTAATTTAGGAGTAGGGAAGGCAGACCATGGGAACTTAGCTATTAGTCCCCTTCGCTCCCAAAAAAATAATAAAAAAAAGTGTGATAGAAAAGTACAGATTTGTTAATTATCTTTTGTTAGCCTGCGAAACACAATTAAAGAAAGATTAATTCTGGCCATGTTCACATTTCATCTTAACTTTAACCTCATGTATAGCAGAAACTTCAGGAACGGCAGCAGAGGGACTGGGATGGGAAATTGACTCTGCTATTAAGGGGCTCCCTCTTCTGGCTTATGAAGAAATACCGTTGCCTGATCCTTTAACAAGACGCTGAAAAGCAAATAGTAAAGGCGGCAATATTTTCTTTTAGAAGTCGCGCATACTACAATAAAAGTTCCTCTGCACATGCATTTGGCTTAATAATTCTTGAGCTTAATAAAATCTGTATATCAATATGCCAGCTGAAAATTTATATTATTTCTAAATGCATTTTTTTGTCTTGGAAATATATTAAAAGCATATATAAGCATAGGAAGAGGAATAGCTTGATTATTTACTCACAAATTAAGAATTTGTATTTCCTGGGTGCAGTGTTATGCATTAAGCTCTCAAGCAGTGTAACTTTGGAGTAGGCAATTGATTTGAGGGGCGTATATATGAGGGGCATTGCTAGGAATGCATCATAAATATTTAATCATATGAATAGTCTTTGTTCTTTATCTGGCAATAAGAGCTTTAAACACCATTAAAGAAGTGTTTTCTGAGTCTCTTAAATGCAGACCAGTAGGAAGAATTTGATACAGGGCTGAAGGAAGATGGAAAGGTCACTATAAGGTTGAATCTTCTGTCTTAGTTGCATCATTCTACAATGGCACTATTTTGGACAGTCCTCTTTCTTTAGGGTGCAGAAGAATAAACATCAAAAGTTCTCTTTGTTCATCATTCTTCACAAGAAACAGAGACCTCTGTGTTTTTTGCTATTTGGAATCTTAGAAGCTGGTAGCATGATCATGTGGTTTAATCTGTTGGGGTTCATATTTCTGGCCAAATTAGAACATTATGAATTTGCATTTTTCTGCAGTGTCCAAAAATAGCATATATTCAAAATAACATACTCAAAGAAGAAGAGTCTAAGGAGTTTCATTTCTGCCATTATAAAATGAAACTACTTTTGATTGCTAACACCAGGCCTCAGTTTCTGCACTACTTTAACAAATTATATTATAACAAATTATAACTAACTGCAATATCAGAAATGGAAAAAAAAATTAGTTAAGGCTGTGTTTTGAGAAGTATGTTATTTTGTTGGTTTGGATTATTTCAAGTAATAACCCTGAAATCATCCACAATTTACCTTGGGAGTCAACCCAAAACATAAATAGAACTTTAAAAAGCTGACTATTTCTTTATTACCCTACACAACTAAATATCGTCAGTGGTATTTTTAAGTTAAACCAAGGTTATCTCAGGTTTGTTGAAGTAAATTTGTTGTTAGCCAAACGTTGATTGAAAAGTTTCTGTCATGTGATACTAGCAACTGCCAACAAAATTGGAGTGAACTTCACATTTAGTATAGTTGCTAAATTATAAATACAGCAATGTCTTTGGCACTATTGTCTCAAACCAGAGGCTTTTGATTGAAGGAGAGCACAAGAACTTTTTGGACCCAAATCAGTATGGTCTAAAACCATTCTAGCTTACCCCAAAACTAATATGAAGACTAAGTGACATTTTTACCTGTTTACATAATAGAATATGTGAAGTTCTTTTAACTTTTAGGGAGGGTAGTCTTTAACAAAACCACTCAACAGTAACTTGACCAGAAATAAATAATGTCTACAAAGTTTTAGTACTGCAAATTATCTTCTTGAGTTTTATTCAGTGGCTCAATATTTATGTTGAAAGCCTGATAAAAGACAACTTTAAAAATATTTCAATAGTTTTAAAATCAAAATACAACAGTATTGGGGGGGTGTCTTTCTTTGCATCTGTACTTTAAACTTCTGATTTTCAAACTGAGTTATATTTTTAGATTGAGTTACATTTTTCAATTTTTATATGGTTTTCAGATTATGACATTTTGTATTTTACAATCAAATTTTCTTTTGAATGGAATGAGCCCATCTAAATCAACAGAATTTCTTTACATTTTAAACCACTATAAATAATAAAATTGAAGGAAAAATTCAATCTCAAGTTTTAAATCCAGCATGGGTACAGTAAAAAATACACTTGCTTTAATTGTTTATTCACTTTCTGTAATTCGTTTCCCTATTTCATGTGCTGCCTCCATCTTGACATTAATATTGAACTAAAGAAGCAAGTTACTCAAAAGTACTTGGGACTCTACAAAGGCTGTCAGAGGGACCAAGTGCTTGTTCTGTTTAAATCAAGCATCCTCAAACTACCTTTAAACCTGTTCTCTAAAATAGTTACAAACTGAAAAGATCAGTAGGGCATTTTGAAAAATTCATCCCATGTCTTTTTAACAACCAAATCCCGTATTTACCTATAAATCAGCAGCTAGTCGTTTCCTCCTGGAAATTAACCACAAGCCAACAGTTGCCTTCTCATCTTCTGAGGGCTGAGGTCCTGGATCTGCCAGCCAGAATCAAAATTTGCTAGTGCTTTCCTGCTCGTTTTTCTTCTCTTGGTCATGTACTGACTGTGGGTGAATGCATTATATATTCTACTAGTATTTCAAGTCACATGGGAATCTATTTAATAGTAGGGGTTTTTTAATTTAAAAGCCCTCGGGGTAGTGGCAATCTGGATTGTATCATCTCAAAAAAAGTGATTTACTAAAAAGAAGCAATCTGCCCAAATAAGCCTACAAGCAGTACCAAAAATAAGCAAGGATTTCAAAGGCACCTAGTTGCGTTAGTGTCTTCTGAAACTATAAATTTAAATAAGCAAACTAATACTAGAAATTAAAAAAAAAAATTAGAAAAAAATAAAATAAAAAATTACGAGGTTACATAAATATTCTCCACTGTGCCCTGAAATCATGCTTGGCATAGTCAAGAGAAGACAACTTTTAGGCTACAAGTGTGGAATGTGTTAAATAAACAAGTGAGCTTAGAACAATGATTCCCAAACTACAGTTTATGGGCAACCTGTTAGGACTGGGTTTGCCAGGGAGAGCATGATAAGGCATTGCCCTTCCCTTGTTACTCGATGAGTGAAGTCACCCTCTCATCTAAAGATTGGGCAAGATGTGGTACAAAAGTATAGTAAACAATAGTTCCTGCCCAAGGAAGTTTACAGTCCAAAAGAAAGAACATACAGTCATTCATAACAGAGTTTGTGATGCAATAGTGCCAAATCCAAACAATAGGAAGTCATAAATTGGCAGGTTGGCTTAAAACCATGGACAGGCATAAGAAATTGAAAACACGACAGCTCTCCTTTTCTCTTTTTCCACTCATATTACACTATTAAGTGTTCCTTTTCCAAACTTTCCTCCATATAAGGAGGATATATACGTTTTTCCCAGTGTTTTAAGGGAAGTACCTACATGTAGGAGATTTGTGATAAAGCAGGAAGAACACCAGAACTTGCTTGACAGCTCTGATACACAGTATGGAAGAAATAGTCTACAGTAACTGAATTTCATATCTGTGTAGGCAGTCAAGGCAGGCTTTTCCAAAATTAAGTCCTATTTCTGCCCTAAGCAACAGATGTTTTATACAGCTTATTTGGACTCTTCATACAGGTAAAAATCACATCAGTGAAACTTTGAGAAAAGGTTTGAAAGGATAGATGCTGCTGTCCATGTAAAAATAAAAAAAAAAATCTT